GGCATTCTTCATTGCCCACGGCTGCCTATTTTAATACAAGACAGCGTTTCTAGATAACAGCAATCTTCTCTATAGTGTGTTAGTGTGTGTGCTTTGGACCAAAGGCAAAAAGTGTGTTGGCCACACGACTGTACGACGAGCGGGCATTTCCCACAGCACAGAGACGCCACGCCAAACCGCATACTTACATATGTAGATGTGTACATGTGTGTGTCTGTGGGTTTGCGCTGCGAGTCGTCTCAAAGGAAAGTCGCTGGTCGAGGAAGTAGACTTATGGTACGGTGCCGTCGTCGTCGTGAGCCGAAGAAGAGTTGCTGGCTGCTGTGAAGAAAATTGTCGCCGGCTATCTTGTAAGTGGCCAGTCGCCAGCAGCATAAAGAGATAAATGCATACTTGTGTTTGTTTGCATGCATATGTCTTGTTCAGTTTGCTACTTCCGCGAACATTTTAAAATAGATTCACTCTAATAAATATGTATGTGGCTGTCGATAACCGGAAGGATGCTTTTGGATAGCTTTATATTGAATATTGGTAGTTATTTGGCAATAATAACAAAAAGAGAGAACATGGAAATTCGGTTAAAACTAACACCTACGAAAACCGTGAGTTTATATTTTTTTTATATGTCAGACAAAAGATTTGTAAGCTACTATTTTTTAAAGAATAATAAAGATAGAGAAACTTAAAAAATATCTAGTGCTAAAATATAATGTTAGAAAACTCATAGTTAGGGAATTACCGTTGTAATAATTGTCATGCTTGAAAATATAATATATTTTAGTTTCTATTAAGAAAATCATCAATCATCCGGTGTGACTCAACTGGTACGTTGAGACGGTGGCTACCGTTCATGTCTCTCCAATTAAATCGAAGTATGTCAAAACAGTCAAAACTGCACTTGGGCCATTCGATTTTCGTAAACTGTCGATTTTAACTGTTTTCAGCGAGATTGATTTTAACTGTTCGAACGAGTTTCGGCCAAGAATGGATCAGAAACCCACTTCAACCCATAGTTGACAGGTTTGTGGTGTCTTCTCTAGGTTTCTGGGCCATACTGCAGTAACAAAGCTATAATTTACCGATATTAAAGCCCTAAATAATATTTCACTGTTTTGATCATTAAAAATATCGGCGTTTTATCAAAAACGATGGCTTGACACTCATCTACAATGCTCACCACAAACCAGTTATGGTTTTAAACATTTTATCGAAAGATAAAAACCCATCCTACCAACTACATACATATACATTCATACACACATACATATGTCATATGCGATTACAGCCAAGGATAAGGCAATCTGCATTCGATAATCAACAATCAATCAGAGTAGTCAGTAACAAGTACTTCGATTTAAGTAAAACACCTGTTGCAGTCAAAGCATTCATTTTCAAAAGATATCAATAACAATCGCTGACCTGCTGCTGTTGGAAGTGCACACACACAAATGCATATATGAGCTGCTATGCAACAGCAAAAACAATGCATCGGTAGAAGGAACATATTGCCATTCAAGCGTAACTCAATGCAAGCACACATACAGACACAGACACTTGTATGCTAGGGGTATGTGTGTGTGTGTGCACATGTGCATTAAGCAAATGTTGCTGCAGGCAAAATCAACAGAAAGACAAACAACTGCTGAAGAACACAACAGGAACTGTCAGAACAGCTGTGTGCCAGGCAACAAGCAGCAAAAGAAAGAAGAAGCACAAAAAATTAAAACTGAAATTGAAAATAAATAAAAAACAAAAGCAGATAGAAAACGAATGTGATTTGTATGTAGGTGGAACAAGTGTGGAATGCGGAATGTAGGTGTGTACCGGCACCAACAGTTGTCAATGCGAGCGTTGATAATCACCGTTTGACGCCGGGCAGATGATACTAAAGGCAAATGTTTGTAAGGAGAAAGAAGAAGAAAAAAAAATCAAGAAATCATTAAAAAGATTTGAAAATTTCAAACGGAAATCTAAAAGTCATCGCCAGTCAGGAAATGCTTATTTAATACATAGCAGGAATTTGTGTACCAGAAAAAAAAACAAGTTTCCCACGCTTCTCGGCCAACTGGCACAAGTGTTCTTCGAAGAAGACGAACAGCTGAACGATGCAGGCTCAAGGAGGATTTGAAAAGAAATGATTTACTGCGCATGCCTGGCGCACTTTGCCGATGCGCGCGCAAGGCGAACGTAAATATATGTGTGTGTGGTTAGGCGTCTTAATGCTCCTACCGATAATTATAACTCGAATGCGCGCAAGTTAAACAAGCAAACAACTGCTTGTAACTCTAAAAAATCAGTGAAATGCGACTTTTTTGAGGAACAACGATGTTTTGGAGTTGAAGACTGTAATACGGTGTGTGCTATGTAATTGTTATGGCATTTTTTTTTATTAAAAAATAAAAAAATAATTTATAAAATTGTTTAAAAAAGTTGTAAAAAAAACGTGCTAAGTACACTAGCTCATAGGTCAATCATTTTATCTTATTATACCTCAGAAACGGTAGGTCTTAGGAAAAAGGTATATTTTTATATATATTATTCACATATCGGAACGTTGAGGACTTTTAGTATGTTATTTTTAATCGTGTTTTGAACATATTCACTAACATTCAGCTTGTTGCAAATGTATGTAACTTTCGACCGGACTATCAATAATATAAACTAAAATTATTTACAGATTTATCTTTCGTTTTGATTCATTCGATTCCGTACATTTCATCCAACTAGAAATTTAAAATTGTTTTCACAAATAAAAATTAACATCTAAAAAAGCTTTTTGAAATCATATCAAAACGAGCTCCACTTAGATAAGCCAATTAAATCAATTATAAATAGTCTAGTTCAACAGATTTTTTACAACAAAAAAGCGATTTCGAACTTTCAATACAACTTCCTCTAAGTAAACAGCTGGCACTCGAAAAAAAAAAGAAAACTCACTTCCGGTACGGCACATTCCATTCAAATGCCGTGTTTCCTCATCAATTAACATTTCTTTGCTTGCCACATCAACAATGGCCTAACAGCTAACAAAATTAGATAAGCATAACATTCGACAACAGCAACAATGCCCACTTTATATCTTTTTTTCGTTTGATATGTAAATAAGCATCTTCAGCATGAATAGAATGGCAGCAATTGTATAAGTTTAGTAGAATAATAAAAAAAAGTGGAGCTGAACTAAGAAGTGAGAAGGAGGTGTGTACACTTCTAAATAAACTTAACGTTTTTCTTAACACACATACACGAACACGCATGCGAGCATATCACGGCAATGACAAAAAGGCGTCGGAGAAGGCGCGTGATGGGCCATTAAGGGAACGCACCCAAAAGCACGTGTAAATACACAAGACACACACATGCGTGCAGTTGTAAATATTTAAGTTTATGGCTTTGTGTGTGTTGGTTTGTCAGTTTACTTTGAAAGCAAACAATCTCCATTCGCGTAAATACACATATCAGCTTAAGCTAAACTAAATGCGCGTATATGGACATGGTCTGAGTTGTTGCAGCAACACTTACAACAACAACAGTGGAGTCAGTTGCAACACATGGTTGGCGTTTGAGGGGCAAAAACGGCAAACGGGAAACCCCTCGCCACGTTAATGAATGAGTAAATGCATGCTTGGATGAGTGAATGACTGAATGAATGAAAGAAATAATAAATAAACTCTAAAACGCAACGAAGTTGCATATTTCATGCCAAGCATATTTCACTGGTGGGAAATGCCGTAGTGCAACAACAATAACAAAAAGTGATTTAAGGGGAAGCAGGGTGAAAAGGAAGTTAGGGGGGTTAAGGGATTAAAAAAAAATAAAAATAAATTTAATTAAAATATATTAAAAATAAACTACCGGCTGTACCGAAGCTATAATAGCATTTTTAGATATAATTTTTTATAGCATAAAGGGCATTTCTTCATTTGGATCGGTCAGTTTGTATGGTAGCTATAGTTGTTTGATCTAAACAGTTTGAGAGAAAAGAACGTGTGAACAATTTCAGTTCGATATCTCAAAAACTGAGGAGCTAGTTCGCGTATATACAAACAAAGAAATCATTTCGAAAAAGATAACAGTAGGGGACTTCATTTCAATATCACAAAAAAATCTATTAACCAAATTACAGCCTTAACATTGCTCTTCAAAATAATTTATGACATATTCTTTAAATATGTATAGCAGAACACCTGACGCATAACAGTGGCGAACTCAGAGGCCTTGAGCGAGTCATCACGAATAAGTGGACTTGAAATGGACAGACGTGTGCTACTCAGACAAATAGCTGGACATTTTTCATATAAAAATGCAATATATAAACATAAAAAAGCTTCTAAAGAATTGTGATGCTGTTGAACGTGAAAACACGATCACATCTGCTTTGTTTAATAGTCACAGCTAGAAACTCGTAAAGATTTCGTTTTGAATTATAAATAGCAAAGCCTTCATTTATTTCATATTTTCATTTAGTGCGACGTGTTATGCATTTATTATGCACCTCTATGCATAGAGTAGGCGTGACTACAGATTTCGCTTTTGTTGTAATACAATTGGAATTGGTCGTGCTCAAACTTATGAAGCGATATTTATGTGAAATAAAATGGTTTTTAAATAATTTGCTTTGGCGCAAGCGGTCATTTCTATATTTATATGAATTATATTATAATAAAAATTATGTAGGTATTTGCTGGTACATATTTGGATTTTAATGAGTGCCAACGCGGCCTTCAGATAGGAAATCGTTTTAGATAGCCAAAAACGGTCATTCCAGAGCTATATTTAAACAATGTGACAGCAGTGAGTGCAGTAAATTATTAATAAAATAAATATGACAGCAAGTGGTTTGCGTGGGTTTACCCACTTTTGAAAATGCAGTGAAATTACGTGTGTATAATGTGCATAACTCAGGGTCAAATAATTTAAATATCATCATTTTAGGAGCAAAAACTATGATTTTCAATAAAGTTAACAAATTTACACTATCTTTATCACTCTCTCCAAAACAGGACTCTGAAGACGATCTGCCCATTTGCGCGCCGAACGCCGTTTGTTCCAAGATTGACTTGTACGAGACACCGTGGATCGAGCGCCAGTGTCGCTGCCCGGAAGTTAATCGCCAGCCACACATCGTGCTGCACCACCACGCCCACCACAGCGCCGGCAGTGCTGGTGAACTGACGTCACACACTGTTACGTCTGCCGCCGCTCACGACAAATACCGTAGTTACTATGAGCGGGAGCGTTTGTTGCAACATAAACGACTGCTGGTTGGCGATTACAATGACAAGAAGTTTGAGCAATTGCATTTGAAGAAGCTAATACAGCGTTTGGGTGCGGTCTACGAAGACGATTTACATCTGCCGCCAAGTGATTATGCGGCAGCATCGGTAGCTTCACATGGCGAGGACAATGATGCACTGCCGAATTCGCAGGAGGATGAGTTGCTGAGTGAATTGAGCGACAATGATTTTCCACACATGCCATCGCGTCGTAATTACTACAGCGTGGAGCCAAGCACGACGCATATGCGGCACTCGGGTCACAATGGACATCGTGCGAAGGAGCCAATCAACTTCATTGGTGGCTGTCCCAGTGGTTTAGGTGTGGAGGATGGGCACACGATTGCCGATAAGACACGTCACTATAAGATGTGCCAACCGGTGCACAAGTTGCCTGTTTGCAAGTAAGTAGAGCGATGCAAGAAGTAATAACAAAGGTTTTGTAGCATTTTATAAATTTATTGTATTTTTCTTCTTTTTTTTGTAGACATTTTCGCGATTATACGTGGACGCTTACCACTTCGGCGGAGCTGAATGTGACCGAGCAGATAGTGCATTGTCGTTGCCCGAAGAATTCGGTTACATATTTGACGAAAAGGGAACCGGCGACAGATGGTGCGAGTGGTTACACATACCTCTTTGCTTGTTCACCCATAACAGTAAGTGTTAATTGATAAGGATTTACTATTTTTTCCTATAAATCGCTGATCATTTCTAGTTTTAAATCAAAAGACTTTAATTTTTTGAGTTCCTATAATTTAATTTCCTTCTTTGCTTCCAGCGCATTCGTTGCCAACGCAAACAACCCTGTAAACTATTCACGATACGCAAGCGTCAAGAATTCCTCGACGAAGTCAACATCAATGCGCTATGTCAGTGCCCGAAAGGGCATCGCTGCCCCAGCCATCACACACAATCGGGTGTTATACCCGGCGAGAGTTTTTTGGAGGATAATATCCAAACCTATTCGGGCTACTGCATGGCCAACGATTGATGGTCTTCCACGGTACCGATGGGCAAAAGGCGACAACAACGAAAGAAAAAATTCAAAAAACATAAAAAGCAACAATCACAGGCAAAGCCGCTGGAGCAGAGCAAATTTAGAACTGGGCAGCTGACCACATTCCAAATACAGTTAAATGTGGGCATTACAGTGAAGGCGAGAGTAAGGGTACAAAGAAAAATATTTAATACAAATTAAACATAAAATAAAAATACACACTTGCATATATACATATATACGTATATATATATAATATATGTGTACGTAGGTATATATGCCTATATAAGAAGTGCGTGTTGCAGGCAGCCACAAGCGGAAATTTAGTCAAAAGAAGAATGTTAAACAAAAAGAAAAAACAAATAGTTGACTGAGCCAGTTGAGTCTCGTCTTTTTTTAAATAAATTTAACTAATTAAGTAAATGCAAATTAGTGTTAAAAATTGTTTTGCTTACTTAAAATATTTAAGCTAAATTATAATTAATTTATGAACACGAACAAATATGAATATTTTAATATTTATTTATTTAAGCTATTTTATTGGTAAACTAAGCGCAGCTACGAAAAGTAAACGACGAGTCGTTAGTAATTACACACCTAAATACAACAAAAAGTACATATCTTAACACATGCATACATAGTTGGTATATATATACATATAGGGTGTGGAGAAAGTGGAGTTTTGTAAATTGTAAATAATTTCAAGTTTCTTAAAGTTAAATTATTATTGATAAAAATACTAAAAAAAAAAAAAACAAAGAAGGCTTAAAAAAGTCATAAAAATTAAAAAAAAAATATATATATATATAATATTATTCAATGGCCAAGCGTGCCAATTACAGGGTGCAGTCTTAAGTGATTCGATTTAGTTATGAAAATCAGGTACTCAGTAACTTACTAAGCAAAACGAGAAATCTGTTCGAAAAACGAAAAAACACATAAAGACAAGCTGAATTGTACCTGAAAGCAGTTTTAAAGGAAAATTAAAGGCAAAATGCGAAAGATAAGCAAACGCGTATAATAAAGTAACAGGCAAATAGTTTTCACCATAACAATAATACACTTGAGCAAAATAAAAAATAATATTAAATGAAATAAGTAAACATATTAATATGTAAATATAAATTTTTTTTTAAATAAAAATCAAGCTATAACTTTTATAATAAAGAATGGTTTAAGCCTAACTCAAAACAAAAACAAAAAAAAAAAGGAAAATAAAACAAAATTGTAAACTATTAAAAACACAACAATATTTAATTAAAAACTTTTTTTACTTAAAAAATTAAAAAAGTTCAAATACTTATTTTTTAGCCTCCACTGTGCCTACGACTACATTACGCTACAATTCTAGCAAATAATAACTTATTCGTTTAGTTTTTATTAATTACGCAACTATTTATATGTGTAAATGATTAATTTAAATTACATTTATATAAAACGAAAAGGAAAAAAAATGCAAAAAATAAGCAACTTACGATACGCGCTAGAACTTAGCCACAGAAATGCTTCCACAAGTCTTTAAGCCTCTTAAAATTTGAGCGCAGCATTATTTAATACAAACATACACACATAAACTAAAACATTTAAATTGGCACCAAAAGTAGTTTGTAATACAAAAATGCATAATTTAAAAATATTTAAAGCTAACTTTAATTGTAACACACACACACATACATTCATAGACACACATGTGTATTAATATTTAATTTAGCTGTAGACTCTACTTTAGGTTACGGTGTGATTGAGTTTCCTTTCTATTGCCTTAATATATACATATGTACATTATATTTTTTTATATTTTGTTTTTGTATAAAGACCTATTTATATGGAGATTTGAAATTTTATACATAATTATATACCCAATGATGATTAACTTATAACATTTATTATTATTAAATTATGAAATAAAATATGAATAAATAAAAAATGTATCGAAGATAATACACGTTGCTTTTATTAAAAATATGTATGTATATATTCGTATATGATTGAGGATTATATGCCACTGCTATCTCTGAAACCTGTCGAAACAATCATTTTTTAGCCGAGCCGACGATGATCGCCAGATTACTTCCTAGATGACAATAATTTCTGACTACATTAGTCAGTTGAGGAAAACAAACAAAATTGTTGTGAATTAGCCACTAGAGAATAGCGAGGTAAGTAAGAGTGCTCTGAATAGTACTCGAATTGCTTAAAACATAAAAATTTGCTTTTCGAAAACTATGAATCTAGAAAATTGTGAAATACTCTCATAAGGTTTGAAAAATCGCATAATTAGAATACTTTCGTGGTAGGCTGCCGCCGGCTTAAAAGCTGGGCACTAAAATGAAGAGGTTTTAGAAAATTTCTTCAGCAGCTATTTTTAGTGAGCTTTAAGGAAATCTGCAAAAATTCCATATAATTTTTCAATATTGAAATGTAGGAAACCCTATTTTTTTAAATTCACTGCGAAATATTCTACCCGCTAATAAATAAATTCCATTCTAGCGACATACCCAGTTTTAATTCTGAACTATAGATTCTTTTTGGCAGTTTAAGACTTTCGGCAGGGTAGTTCTTTACTAGTTTCGCTTCGTTTTTGCAAAAAAATATATTTTTTTTTTACTCAGAAAGATTGCCAGTTTACACTTCTGTTCCTCATTAGTTGGGGCAGAGAAAAAAGTTTAGCACAATTGCGCTAACACTGGAAAAGCACCGCTAATTATAACTGGTGTACACTATGAGCACCTAAAAGTATGCAATGCTGATTGCTGTTTGTGTATACAATCACACGATCAGCGGTTCTGTGATCTGCTAGAAAATGAACTAAAAATTTATCTTTGATACACTGGTGGCAAATATTAAGGAGGTTTCAAGTTTTGGTATAATATAATAAATATTTACTTACAACATTATTTTCAGTGTTAACTTTTATAATACTTCAGATAGTTATTCGGATTTTAATTACGGATACATACCTGAAAGCAGAAAAATAAATGTGCATTGAAAAAAATATTTTATGTAAAAAGTGAGTGAAATAGAAAAGTATAGAAATTTCATCTAAAAACAGTAGCGCAATACTGAATATTTTTTTTAAACATATAGATTATTGTTAAAAAAAAAAATGATATCGTTGACTCAGAAAGAGTTTCATCCGAAATCTTCGATTTTTTGTGGACGAATTGAAACCCCTCGGGCATTTCATTTAAAATTATTGCACCTTATTCAATAAGTATCGATTGACAAAGCGTATACCACCATCAGCAAGGATGCGCATTTCAAGTTCACAAAAAAACGACAGAAGAAGCTGGACCAAGCTTATTGTCAAGCAAATATGCAATGTCATATTGCTGTTTTTAGTAGTATTAGCTAAATGATTTCTGCAGAAAGAAAAGAAGTTGTCGGGCTACCTTTTCACCTAATAAAAACATATTGCTAACCGAACGAGTAAATTTGTGAGTTTGGCTGAGCATTCTTGTGAATTCTGTTTTTGGGTTAGTTACAAAATTTGAAGTGCGTTATAAGAAACGCATAATAAATTTAAAAGGTGCGTTCCAAAGTAACTTAAAAAAAAAAGACAGAACAAATGGTTTTACCGGCAAAATCAATTAATTTTATTCAAAATAGTCTCCTTCTGCTTTAATACAGCTTTTTGCACGGTCCAAAAACATGTCGAACGAGTGTCTTAGCTCGTTGCCCGGAATGGCCGCCAGTATGCCGGTGCAAGCCTTTTGAATGGCCTCCACGTCTGCATAACGCTTGTCTTTCATCGGCAAATGCATTTTTCCGAAAAGGTAGACGGCGCCACTAGAGTTTACTTATTTAATTTTTTACTGTTTACTTTGGAACGTACCTCGTATATTTCAGTTTTCTATAATCACAAATGATTTTTTAGATAAATCGATCGTTCGAAGCAGTGAAGTTTTTTAAGGAAAGTTCTGAACTGATCTGTTCTTTTTTCTTTAATTAGGATTATTTTTTAGTTAATTAAGACACCATAATACCTACATCTGTATGTATTATATAATGAATAACATTACTTAACATATTATCTCAAATATAGACTATAATGTTAGTTCCATGTTCGAATACATGGAAATCAGCATATTTGCTACAAGAGGCTTGGAGAAGATGTAGGCAGATTTATTCTACTTTATGTACCCGAACAACATTTCGAGAATTTACTGAAATAATGTTAAAAATAAAGTTTTTTCTTAAACAAGTTTTACAGCACTGCTTTCTTAAAAAAACTCTACCTGTTGTTTATCAATTATCCCACCGCCAACACGCACAAAGGGCATCAGAACGCATCAAAAACGCTCCTAAAAAATGTCAAACAATTAAGCGCTGAAATATCAATTTATATGCAATATTTTCTAAATGAAAGAATGCAGAGGGGAAATGCAAAGATTACATAATAATAAAGACGAATTGAGCACGTCATAAATGACTCTATGAATGTGCACCGTGAGCACTGCAGTAATTGAGGAACACTGGCCGCTAAACGCCTGGCTAATTGCGCGCGCACACAAGTGAGGTTCATTTGCCACAAAGGTCTGCCACACAGAATGCGAGGGTAACTCGGAGTTAGCTGCCGATGGGTGCCTGGCTGCTTCGCGGCGGGGTTATGCCAGGCGACTGGCGAGGCAACAATCGCCGTTCTGTGCTCTAATCTAGCACCCGAGATCTACTAATATCACAATTAAGCCAACATGACAGGTACTAATAGATCTCACCGTAGTTGCAGAGAGAGCGCGGAAAGCTATGATACACTCGTGAGTACACACACACACGTAGATCTATGTATATAATTGACATGATAGCTGCGCTCGTGCGCATTTTCCATTACGATTCTTAAGCTTTATGAAATAGTTTATTACCATGGTTTGTTTGTTGTTGTTGTATTTACTTTGTATTTAACTACTTGTAAAAGGGCTAAGCTGTAAAAGTCGGAGCCGCATCTGTATAACAAAGACTTGTGCCATGTATGCCATGCTCTGCTTTTTAGGGCAAGCAGGCGGCGAGCAACTCAATTCATTTGTTGGAGCTTTACGGGAAAATGGCTTTGCTTTATTGGGCTTATTGTTACAATTTGTTGTAAGAGTCGCTACAGCCAGTTTGTTAATCGCTTGGAACTGTTGCTGGACTCTGCTTGAAGACGCTGAGATGCTTTCTGGCGACCCTTTGTTGTAACTTTATGCTCCCAGGAGGGGGAAAATGTGTGAAACACCAACAAAAAAAGACTACAACAAAAGAATGCCAAACAGCAAAGAAAGTTAATCACAAAGCGCACAATGACGATAATAAATAAATAAATAATTACAACTCTTGCCACAAAATGAGCAAAATAAAACAAAACAAAAAAATTTGGAATAAAATTAAACAAGGAAAGAAAAGTAAATTTTCTTCACCTTCAGCATGAAGTAGTTGTTGTTGTAGCTACTTTTGTTTGTTGTCGTTTGTAAGCAGTTTTAACATTTATTTTCATTTATTCTCTTTTCACCTTCTTTTGGCCAGTGAAGCGTGCGCCAAATCGCAGAAGACTCACTTACCGTCACGCTTTTCGCCAAAAACGTATGTCCACGTTTACTCAGTTGGTTTTGGAAAAATTCCAATCAGCCTTTAAGCAGACGGCTATAAGGTTAAGAATGGCAACAATAATATAAACTATAGGTACGGCAACAACAAAACAGCAAAACTAATAAAGAAATAAACAACAATTTTAAGTCAAACAAGCCGCGGTCAAAGTAACGACAGATTGGCCGGTCAGCCAGATAGACAACCCAGCCATCCGTGCACGAGTATTGGTTGAAGAGGAGAAAGTTCAAAAGTTTACCTACCCACACGCACTCACATACCCACAAAGCTGACAAGTAATGATAAAACAAAAAAAAAAATAAAAATTACAAAGTAAAAAATTCAAAATGTAATGATTTAGTCTAAAAGTTCGTGCTAAAAGCAAATTGAGGAGTTAAACTTTGTTGTCTAAGCAGAAAGGTTCATACCAGCAGCTTTAAAAGTATTTAAAACACTTAAGTTGATTTTAATATATGAAAAAATTCTTCAATTATTTTATAAAAATAGAGAAGTATTACGTTTTTTGATTATTTTCTTAAATTACATGACAGCTTTTTAAATTCTATTAGAGATTTTTTTAAGCTTGCTTGGCTTTGACAATTTTATTTATATTTATTTTTAGCGATTAAATAACGTTAGTTTTCGACAAGAGTGGCAAGATAATTTGCAAAAATATTCTTTATTAAAACCAAAATAAATATATAATAATATATATAATAAGAAAAAGTTGCCCGAGTGAAATTGTTACATGAAATATATAACATTATTAAATTGCAACAACTAAAATATTTTAATTTTTTAATTATTTTTTTATTTTTGTTTATTTATTTTTGTTATTTTTTTAATTTTTGAGTTATGCTTCACACGCGTGAGCTATTCGTTTTGCCAAACTTTGAAATATCTTTGCATAAATATTGAAAAATAATAATTTATAAAGTTTTCACATATTAAATACATATATGTATTTGTACACCAATTAGTTATGTTGCATGTAAATTATTTTTTCCTTGATTGTGCATTTCTGTCTTCGCTTTAAACCCTCCCCTCGCTCTCGCATACTCTCTTATGCTCATTGCAAGCACATTTGTTAACAATTTAATTTTAACTTTTATTTTCACTTCTTAATTTCGCTTTTATTACACTTTTGTTTGCATTTTTTCTTAACGTCATTGAACAACTTACACTTCAGTTAAGCTTTAAACAACACTTCAAGTGCTACCGCATTGCATTCCACTTCAGCACTATACAACATAACATCACATAGCATAACATTACCACACTCGTATACCGCTGCTGCACTCCGCTCCACTTTAGGATTGCAGGGCAGCAGACTTTTCTCATAAGAAATCAAAAAACCAAAAGATATAACAAATGAGGC